GACCCTTGGTGAAACATGCCTACCTGGCTACATGGAGCGAGGTGAAACATGCCTACCTGGAAACATGCCACCTGGCAACATGGAGCATTGGTGAAACATGCCTACCTGGCTACATGGACTGGCAACCTTGGTGAAACATGCCTACCTGGCTACATGGGACCCTTGGTGAACACATGCTACATGGACATTGTGCATGCCTACCTGGCAACATGGACCCTTGGTGAAACATGCCATGGACCTTGGTAAAACATGGACCTGGCTACATGGACCCTTGGTGAAACATGCCTACCTGGCTACATGGACCATTGGTGAAACATGCCTACCTGGCTACATGGACCCTTGGTGAAACATGCCTCATTGGCAACATGGACCCTTGGTAAAACAATGCTAACCTGGCTACATCAAGCCTAGGTGAAACATGCCTACCTGGCTACATGGACCCTTGGTAAACAATCCAACAATGCTACAAAATCAGGAGCGTCCACTAAACAACCTAGTTCCGAAATCTGAATGGGATCTGCTGTGCTGCTTTAGCAAAACCCCAGGAGAGGTCATCCAAACATCATCAATAACATCCTCAAACCATCAACTTGATAATCAGTAACCTGGGCTATCACACTTGGCATTTGCTTGGCAGATATGAAGTGTTTAGACTGATACTTGCTGCAATCATTAATTCCACAGCCGATAATCATCACTGATTGCAAACTAATTGGCGCAGGTATCAAACTTAGACATAAACAATATTCTGTTCAGGTCCTGTTAATTCAGACATGTTTCAACCCTCAGGGATGGCAACAGGAAAATCTATTTTCAGGTGAAAACTTAATATTGTGGGGTTCAGACACTTCACAGAATTGATCAATTTGAAATAAAACTAATGACCTAACCTACACAATGTGTCCATGAGGATACATGGTAAAATTGGTCTTCAGCAAAAATGCTGGCAAGAGAGGCAACAATGCTTGTCATAAATGCAAAATTGCTTCTCATAAGAGGCAACAAATGCAATGTTTGTCATAAAGGGCAACAATGCTTGCTATAAGAGGCAACAATGCTTGTTTTAAGAGGCAACTTGTCATGAGGGACACCAATGCTTGTCATGATGGACAACAATGCTTGTCATAAGAGGCAACAATGCTTGTCATGAGGGACAATGATGCTTCTCATGAAGGGCAACAATGCTTGTCATGAGGGACAACAATGCTTGTCATGAGGGACAACAATGCTTGTCATAAGAGGCAACAATGCTTGTTATAAGAGGCAACAATGCTTGTTATAAGAGGCAACAATGCTTGTCATGAGGGACAACAATGCTTGTCATGAGGGACAACAATGCTTGTCAATTATGAGGCAACAATGCTTGTTCTAAGAGGCAACAATGCTTGTTCTAAGAGGCAACAATGCTTGTTATAAGAGGCAACAATGCTTGTTATAAGAGGCAACAATGCTTGTCATGAGGGACAACAATGCTTGTCATGAGGGACAACAATGCTTGTCATAAGAGGCAACAATGCTTGTCATGAGGGACAACAATGCTTGTCATAAGAGGCAACAATGCTTGTCATGAGGGACAACAATGCTTGTCATGAGGGACAACAATGCTTGTCATAAGAGGCAACAATGCTTGTCATGGGACAACAATGCTTGTCATAAGAGGCAACAATGCAACAATGCTTGTCATAAGAGGCAACAATGCTTGTTATAAGAGGCAACAATGCTTGTCATGAGGGACAACAATGCTTGTCATGAGGGACAACAATGCTTGTCATAAGAGGCAACAATGCTTGTCATGAGGCAACAATGCTTGTTATAAGAGGCAACAATGCTTGTCATAAGAGGCAACAATGCTTGTCATGAGGGACAACAATGCTTGTCATGAGGGACAACAATGCTTGCCATGAAGGTCAACAATGCTTGTCATGAGGGACAACAATGCTTGTCATGAGGCAACAATGCTTGTCATGAGGGACAACAACAATGCTTGTCATGAGGCAACAATGCTTGTCATGAGGGAACAATGCTTGTCATGATGGACAACAGTGCTTGTCATATGAGGCAACAATGCTTGTCATGAGGGACAACAATGCATTTCATGAGGGGCATCAATGCATGTCATGAGGGGCAACAATGCTTGTCATGAGGGAACAATGCTTGTCATGAGGGACAACAATGCTTGTCATATGAGGCAACAATGCTTGTTATAAGAGGCAACAATGCTTGTCATGAGGGACAACAATGCTTGTCATAAGAGGCAACAATGCTTGTCATGAGGGACAACAATGCTTGTCATGAGGGACAACAATGCTTGTCATCATGGGCAACAATGCTTGTCATAAGAGGCAACAATGCTTGTCATAAGAGGCAACAATGCTTGTTCTAAGAGGCAACAATGCTTGTCATAAGAGGCAACAATGCTTGTCATAAGAGGCAACAATGCTTGTTATAAGAGGCAACAATGCTTGTCATGAGGGACAACAATGCTTGTCATAAGAGGCAACAATGCTTGTCATGAGGCAACAATGCTTGTTATAAGAGGCAACAATGCTTGTTATAAGAGGCAACAATGCTTGTTATAAGAGGCAACAATGCTTGTCATAAGAGGCAACAATGCTTGTCATGAGGGACAACAATGCTTGTCATGAGGGACAACAATGCTTGTCATAAGAGGCAACAATGCTTGTCATGAGGGCAACAATGCTTGTCATAAGAGGCAACAATGCTTGTCATAAGAGGCAACAATGCTTGTCATGAGGGACAATGCTTGTCATGAGGGACAACAATGCTTGCCATGAAGGTCAACAATGCTTGTCCTGAGGGTCAACAATGCTTGTCATGAGGCAACAATGCTTGTCATGAGGGACAACAATGCATTTCATGAGGGGCAACAATGCTTGTCATGAGGGGCAACAATGCTTGTCATGAGGCAACAATGCTTGTCATGATGGACAACAGTGCTTGTCATATGAGGGCAACAATGCTTGTCATGTGTGACAACAATGCTTGTCAAGAGGGACAACAATGCTTGTCATGAGGGGCAACAATGCTTGGCATGTGTGACAACAATGCTTGTCATGAGGGACAAATAATGAGAAGTCAAGTTTGCTGACTGCTGATGTATGACATCATATTTCAGTTGTACTCATGATGTTCATGATGTCAGTTGCTGTATCATCTCATACATGGAGACCCAATTGTTTATAATGTTTATAGTCCGTATCTTGACTAGCAGGTATATTATTGATTGTGACGTTAACAACAAACAAACCTGTAAAATGACCTCACCAATATGACGTTACCTGTTCAATAATTGATGAGACACATGTATGACCTTACCTGTCCAATGAGCAACCAAAGACAAGTTTGACCTTACCTTTACAATCGCTGATTGGACACAAATATCACCTCAACTATAGTGTTAAAGCAAACACAGGCATGACCTTTACCATACAATGGTCAAATGATGTTTGACGGCACCTGTTGATGACTGATCAGACAGGTATGACCTTACCTGTACAGTAGTTGATAATTTACAAATGGTTCTGACATTATAGATATGGTGACTGCTTGGACACTAACAATACATGTGATGATTGATAATTAAGCCATCTGGTATGATCACACCTGAATAACGAATAAACATTTGACAATACCTGTTAAGTAAGTGATCAGACAGGTATGTCCTAGCCTGTACAGTGGTTGATAATTAATACACAGGTATTGGCTTACCTGTATATTGATGCATCAGACAGGCAAGACATTTCTATGGTATGCCACTTACAGGTAAGACAACTTCCAGAAAGAGTTCCTTCCGTTCCCCCAACCCTAAACCTAACTCTAAACCTAACCTTAAAACTTAACACTAAACTTAACCCTAAACCTAACCCTAACTTAAATTTTGGACTTTTAGTCATTTTGTGAGTTCTCTAGTAATTTTGTGTTAAGTTTTGTTAATAATTTTAGTATATTTATAAATATTATTTGGGATTGGGGAACGGGAGGAACTCTTACCCAACTTCCATACAGCATAAGGTAAAACACAGGTAAATGATCCATTTAAATAGTAATCAGGCTCAAAGGCAGGTATTTATATGAGTATCGTGTTTAACAAGGCCATCGGCATATACATACCTCACCTGTAAAGTGAATGCACTGATCTTCCCTGATTTCAAAGTTGTAAATCAGGCTCATTTTCTTACTAATCACTGTATAGGTAAGAACTGTCACACTATTGTATCAGATGCATTTGATTGCTTTATATAAGAAACAAGCATACACAATGACGGATATTTCACAATGCACAGTATCACTTGTCATCAGGCAAACAGGAAATAATAAGAAAAACGGGTTTTGGTTTGGGGTTGAGGAATATGGACCTGTCTGCTGTGTAGTGTACCGGGTACACTCATATATTTTGACTTTGTATAGGGTACATTTCTACATGCAGAAACGTATATGGGGTACATTTAAGTATAGCGAAACGTACCTGGGGTACCATTTTGTCGTAAGCATGCCAACAACATCCCTTTCACCTGTATTATTAATACAGGTATGAATATTCCTGAACCATGACTGATAGTTAAACATGTATTATTAGTCCGTTCATCCTGATCATTATAATAATCAGCATGCAGGTATGGATCTGAAATCAGTCTATTATATCACCTGCATAACGTATAAATTATAATACACAGAACAGTGTTTATTCTCAAGTATCGTTTGTCACCACTGACTGACTGACTGAGTTTAGTTTTACACCGCTTTTAGCAATATTCCAGCAATATCACGGCGGGGACACCAGAAATGGGTTTCACACATTATGCCCATGTGGGGAATCGAACCCGGGTCTTCGGCGTGACGAGACAACGCTTTAACCACTAGCCTACCCCACCGCCCGTTTGTCACTAAAATCTCATTTGACATGACATAAAATGTACAGTATAAGATTTGTCTACAAATTTGTTTTAATTTTAAGTAACAGGTGTGTCAAGTGAACATACCTGGTCCCCCTTGCCCCTCCCCCTCTTCTCTCTGGATCGGTGATACGATGGGGGTCTCTCAGCCGACGCCCGCTCGTAAAAATTCCCACAGCGTGGACAGATGGTCCGCTTGGACCCGGGTGGTTGTAGTACGGTCTCGCTACAGGTGGGACAGGTAATTGACACCACTCCTCCACTCCCAGGTGAAGCAGCCATGGACAGACTGCACATGGGGGTTAATGTCGTTTAATCCTCATGGTTATATCCACGAACCCAGGACACTTTGGTATATGTACACAATATCACCGTTTGACAGCTCAGTCAGCCATCTTGTTTGCAGGTGCTCGTGACGTCATCACATCAATAGATTATGAAGGAATCGATGGGTGTACATAATTGCCATGGCAACGTTGAGCCTTCCTTTGCTTTACTCGAACGTGTGAGTCGTCTTATAAGAACCCAAACTGATTGAAAGTCTTGAGTGGGCTTGAAAGTTGAAAGGCAGTATATTGGAATATGCATATATGTATATACCCGACGCACCATTAATAACTCGGAGGTGAGATTGGCCGTTAGACACTACTGCAGTACATATCGGCAGACCAACCTATTCTATACATTATTCATCAGCTACGTCTTATTGACACATACAGTCGACATTGTTTTAAGTGATTATAGTAATCAAAACAGCCTATTGCTAGTGTCCATCAAACTTCTTCCCAACAGATCATAAATACTTTCCAATCAGATTATCTTTGCCTCCGTTCGATCGATGTCAGTATCGATCATGGGCTTGAAACTAAAGCTGATTGTATCGATATCCACAAGACCGTGACGTCCAAAGAGATCAGTTGCTGTATAAGATTACGCGCACTGTTAACGCGAAACCATTTCCATTAAAAATATAGCTGTCTGTTTTATTAATTCATATACATCCTTTGTGTTTCTTCGTGTCTTTAATACCAGAATAAACATTAGTGAACTGACACCGATGCTCCATCACTGGGTCTATGTTTCAACTGGACGTGTTGTCAATAATGCTTTTGCACGGAGTTCTATACTATAACCTTGGACGTGTTGTCAATAATACGTTTGTAGGGAGTTCTATAATATAACCTTTGACGTGTTGTCAATAATACGTTTGTACGGAGTTCTATAATATAAACTTGGACGTGTTGTCAATAATACGTTTGCACGGAGTTCTATACTATAACCTTGGACGTGTTGTCAATAATACGTTTGTAGGGAGTTCTATGATATAAACTGGACGTGTTGTCAATAATACGTTTGTAGGGAGTTCTATAATATAAACTTGACGTGTTGTCAATAATACGTTTGCACGGAGTTCTATGATATAAACTGGACGTGTTGTCAATAATACGTTTGTAGGGAGTTCTATAATATAAACTGGACGTGTTGTCAATAATACGTTTGTAGGGAGTTCTATGATATAAACTTGACGTGTTGTCAATAATACGTTTGTAGGGAGTTCTATGATATAAACTGGACGTGTTGTCAATAATACGTTTGTAGGGAGTTCTATAATATAAACTGGACGTGTTGTCAATAATACGTTTGTAGGGAGTTCTATAATATAAACTGGACGTGTTGTCAATAATACGTTTGTAGGGAGTTCTATAATATAAACTGGACGTGTTGTCAATAATACGTTTGTAGGGAGTTCTATGATATAACCTGAACGTGTTGTCAATAATACGTTTGTAGGGAGTTCTATAATATAAACTTGACGTGTTGTCAATAATACGTTTGTACGGAGTTCTATGATATCAACTGGACGTGTTGTCAATAATACGTTTGTAGGGAGTTCTATAATATAAACTGGACGTGTTGTCAATAATACGTTTGTAGGGAGTTCTATAATATAAACTGGACGTGTTGTCAATAATACGTTTGTAGGGAGTTCTATAATATAAACTGGACGTGTTGTCAATAATACGTTTGTAGGGAGTTCTATAATATAAACTGGACGTGTTGTCAATAATACGTTTGTAGGGAGTTCTATAATATAAACTGGACGTGTTGTCAATTATACGTTTGTACGGAGCTCTACAATATAAACAGTGGGGTTCTTTTTAAATAATGTAAAGGATGATTAACTAGGAAATAAAAACTATCTTCCCTCTCTGGAATTTAAAAATGTATGTCTGTCTTATCAGACAAAAGATTTCATCTTTGAAATGTCACGTATCACTATTTCCGGTGAACAAAATGAATAATAAAATATATATGCTATCACATTTCGTACATCCTAAAATATGGATTATACCTACAGATTTAAGCGTAATCTGATGCAAATGCGGAGCGTTGTGCGGGATGCTTAGACTTTTAAAAAAACATGTTTCACGTTGGTGTTGGAAAAAGTCCAGGCTGAACAAACTAAAAGTGAGCGGGGCGGTGGGGTAGCCAAGTGGTTAAAGTGTTTGCTCGTCACGCCGAAGACATGGGTTCGATTCCCCACATGGGTACAATGTGTGAAGCCCATTACTGGTGTCCCCCGCCGTGATATTGCTGGAATATTGCTAAAGGCGGCGTAAACCCATACTCACTCACTCACTCACTAAAAGTGAGCTATGCATGCGCTCACTGAACGCAAAGAGTGAAACTGGTTTCAGAACCCTGTGAACAGTATCTCGCTTATCTCCTGGGACCCGTGAAGATCCGTGTTAGAATTGGTATTCAGCAACTCACTCTTGTCGTAAGAGGCGACTCATGAGATCGGGTGGTCAGGCTCGCTGACGTGGTTGACATATGTCATCGCATCCCAATTGTGTAGATCGATGCTCATGATGTTGATCACTGGTCTGGTCCAGACTCGATTATTTACAGACCGCCACCATATAGCTGGAATATTGCTGAGTGCGGCGTTAAACAACAACCAAACTTATCTCATGGCGGGTCAGCTTGGTGGGGAAAGAGAGACCGAAATCATGCATGGTGTTATAAATGTGTTGGTTGAAAATAAAGAATGAATCTGGATTTGCGACGCTGTAAAAAGTATATCACATATCCTGAAACTTGTCAGGAGGGACAAAAGTCATGCATTCCGTAAACAATTTTGCTAAAACTGACGAAAAGGGGTATGGTGCTGCCAAACTATAAATACAATCCCAGCGAATCTATGAATCCAATTAAACAGTCTTAAGGATGCGATTCCGCACAGCAACATTCGAACCCTTAAACTGATGGAATATCAAGGAAATAATAAACACGGAGACGTTTGCATGTGTGTTGTCTGCAATAAGGTAAGTAAAGCACTCATGAAAGGCATTCATTGACGGAAATAACTGAGTAGAAATACCGAAAACAGCAAACAAACATTGTTACCACCTACAAGCGACACTGCATATGTTTTTTGTTATTTTTTGACAGGTTATTTGGTTGTCGCAGCTCGAACAGTGTGGTATTGTCAAGAAAGGTTATCTATATATGTACTTGTTTCAACCATCGTGGCACTGTCTTTGCATTGTTGGTACTAACAAAAGCCTAGACGCTGTCGCCATAGAAACTCGTCAACAGCTTGAGCGCATAAGATTTCTGTGTGAAAAACACCCTTTAATCAATTGGAGAACTTAAGAAGAGAATATAGGCTATACCAGGAGAGGTTTACATGTGTTCACTGCGAGCCAAACTATTGACCAGCGGACGTAGCAATCGACGTGCATCTTAACAGCTTCAGTTGCTTCACACACTAACTTCATGAACTATATGCCATACTGAACTATCTGACTACAGAACTTACTGCCTTCTGAATTGTCTGACAACCGAACATATTGCCTACTGATATCTCTGACAAACTAACATACTGCCTACTGATCTCTCTGACAACCGAACATACTGCCTACTGATCTCTCTGACAACTGACCACACTGTTTTCCGAACGATCTGACAACCGAGCATACTGCCTACTGAACTATCCGACAACCGAGCTGAAATGTCTGACAAGCAAACACACTGCCTACTGATCTCTCTGACAACCGAACATATTGCCTACTGAACGATCTCACAACCGAACATACTGCCTACGGATCTCTTTAACAACCGAACTCATTACGCACTGATCTCTCGTAGAACCGACCACACTGTCTTCCGAACAATCTGACAACCGAACTCACTACCTTCTGATCTATCTGACAACCGAACATTCTATCTACTGAACTATCCGTCATCCGAACACATTGCCTCCTGATCTGTATGACAACGGAACACATCCCCTACTTAATTATATCTCAGTTAAACACAGACCCTACTTAACTTTATCTCAGTTGAATGCACCACCTACTTAGCTATATCTCAGTTGAACACACCACCTACTTAGCCATATCTCATTTGAACACATCACCTACTTAACTATAACTCAGTTAAACACAGCCCCTACTTAACTGTATCTCAGTTGAATACACCACCTACTTAACTATATCTCAGCTGAACACACCACCTACTTAACTATATCTCAGTTGAACACACCACCTACTTAATCATATCTCAGTTGAACACATCCCCTACTTAACTTTACCTCAGCTGAACATACCACCTACTTGACTATATCTCAGTTGAACACACCACCTACTGAACTATCTTACCGAAAATTGAACACACCACCTACTGAACTATCTTACCGAGAATTGAACACATCACCTACTGAACTATCTCACCGAGAATTGAACACCCCACCTACTGAACTATATCTCGATTGAACACACCACCACCACCTACACGTCATAAGACTAGATAATCTACAAGACAGAGATACACCATAAAGCTAATATCTAAATAAGTTTGTTTTGGTAGTGTTGCTAAGTAGTACACCTGTACCCTGCAGCATGCCGAGCGTGATGGTATTGGCGTGACAAAGCCTGTACAGCTACCTATAATAGTGCCGATATTCTCCAGGGAACCTTCAGGTTGCTTTCTTTCATCCATATTGATTACTAGGATGACACAGCATCACACGTGATGTAACACTGCGCTTACCTTTCCTGGGGTGACGTTTGGGGGTTGAGGGGGTGGTGTACCTGAGAGAGACTGACTGACTGACTGAGTTTAGTTTTACGCCGCTTTTAGCAATATTCCAGCAATATCACGGCGGGGGACACCAGAAATGGGCTTCACACATTGTGCCCATGTGGGGAATCGAACCCGGATCCTCGGCGTGACGAGCCAACGCTTTAGCCACTTTACCTGAGAGAGATGGGTGTTTGGATCCCATATTGTGAGAGTGTGGAGACTGAAAATACTAGATAATTTTCAGCTACAATTCTTCCTATATTTTTAAACAAAACTAAAACGGAAAAATATACACCGTCCGACCGTGTATACTGAGGGAAAAAAACAATAACACCACTT